AACAAGCATTTAAAAATAAAGGGCTAGATCCTCAGTTGGTATGGCTCCATTGACAGTGTTGTCAGATGTTGCTAGATGTTCTGCTGCGTGTCTGTGTGCTGTCCCAGCTCTGCACAGACAGTTGGCACAGCAGAACTCGAGCGAACTGCCCAATGACCACAAGATCCGTTAAGGTACAAAGGCACCCAGCTAGGTTTATTGTCAATGAGGCACGGTCCTAGTATCCCACAGACTCTACAGGACCACTAACACCTGTATGCCCATTACCATGGACACAGCTCAGTGAATGGTGGGACTTTCCATTCTCCCCCCCCACCCCAGGTTAGCCAAGGACACTCCCTCTGAGACTCCATTTTCTACATCGATGGAAACAAGTTATGTACTGCTCCTCTGATGTAGTTATTTGACACCCTCTGACGTAGCTAGTTACCACCATCACCTTGTACATCTCTATCCATCACACTGTCATTCTGACCTTATTTTTAGGGTGGGTCAGTGTGTTCCTGTTATCTTTAGGGAATGTGTTGGTATTAAGGTGTTCTGGTGCTTCCCTTCTGGAGTGTGTTTGCGAGAGTGCTCTGTGCCTAGCATCTCTTAGGAATGTGTGATTCTGCAATATCAGCCCTGTTCTTGCCAGACTCTGTGAGCTTGCAAACTGGCAGAGTCTGACTTCTGCTCACTTTGCTTCTTTGCTTTATATCAGCAAAGCTTGATCACTACTTTAGTTCAGGCCTTACGTCTCACAACAGGCCTCTGATACAAGGCCTTATGTTTCAGGCTTTCTTTCTACTACAGACAGCCAGGGCTGGCGCTTCCATTTAGGCGACCTAGGCGGTTGCCTAGGGTGCCAAGATTTGGGGGGAGGGGGCGGCAATTCGGCGGCAGGGGGTCCTTCCGTGCTCCAGGTCTTTGGCGGCAATTCTGCTCTGGGACCCTCCGCCGAAGTGCCCCGAAGACTGGGAGCGCGGAAGGCCCCCCGCCTACGGCACCAAAAACCCTGGTGCCGCTCCTGCAGACAGCAATGGGGATGCCTTGACTTACACCACCTGAGAATCTGACCCATTAAAAGTTTTCAGACCACCTGCAAAAGTGCCTGAGTTGTTGCAGAAGGTAGAGACTTGTATCTGCTCCACTTTTCCATCCCCTGAGGATGATAATTGCTTTCAATTAGTAAATTGCTTACTTTTTTCAATCACTTTGAAATGTCAATGGACATAAACCCTTATTCAGCCAGCTGACAGAGCTCTACCACCAAGCAAACCATTCCTGAGAAACCCAAGACACCTGGCCTTGTTTATTCACACTAATACTGTTGTTTCTCCATCCTTTCTAATAAAAGCGTCATTTTTCCTTAAGTATACCTTTTTAGTGTGTTCCATAGCTCGGAACAACCAAGCAGCCCTGCTCTCTATGACTTCTTCTGATCCTCACTGAGATCTTAAAGGTCACAAATGACACACTAATACTGCTTGCTTTGAAGATTCTCCTTCGGGGGGAAAAAAAAATCAGTTCCTCAGATCTTAGTGGCAAAAATACTCCCCTACTCACAAACAATTTATAAGGTGGCAAAGGAAGTGAGTAAGAAAAGTTGCTCTGAGGTGGGAAAGCAATGTAATCCTTGGAAACAAGGTTGTTTTATATGTCCCAAAGGAAGCCCCCTCCAGTCAGCTGCTACTCCTCTTATGGGTGGCAAGCCATGCAATGACCTGTTGCTGTGAGACCAACACGTATGGAATGGCTGCAGCAGCTGTTTGCCTGACTCTCTCCTGCCTGAAAGGAGAAAAGATAGGACAGGCAGCCTTCTTAGGAACCAGATTAGATGTGTGAATAGCTCTTCTTTTTTTCAGGATATTATCGTAACAAAAATTTTATTTATGGAACGGTGGATGAATGAATAAATAACACCTGGTACTTGTATATCACCTTTCAACCAAGGATCAGATGGTTAAATTATGACAGAAGTGACAAAACTATGACTAAGACAACTTCAGCCCAGATCTTGCAGACATTTCTGCTTACCTTTTATCCATGTGAGTAGTACCACTGAGCATTTACTGGGCCTGCTCTCAGGTATAAAATTAAGCATGCTTGTGTTTGTAGGATTGGACGCTTATCAAAGCCCACACAGCAAATCAGTGCTAAACTCAGGAGCTGAAGCAGGAAGTCCAGTATCCCAATCCCACATTCTAACCAGGAATCACAATTAAATTGATATACATTGAGTAAATCCATTTACTTAGATGGAGTTACTATCAAATTTCATCAGTGTGACTAAGATCAGAATCTGGCTTTTCTGACTTTCTACATGTTCCCTACTCTCAACACAATAAACTTTTCATGGCAGGGACCACCGCTACCTGTATGGTAGTACAGTGTGGCCCAATGGAGCTCTAAACCTGACTGAGGCCTCCAGCTGATACCATAATAGGATAATCCGAAGGGCATTTCACATCGCATATTGAGCTCTTTTAGTTTATCTAGCTAAGTCCATTTAAACAAATCATCTGATTTTTTTCTCCTTGTGGCAGTATAATATCCGGCAATGCACTGTATTTTACTGTTGGTTTGAACTGGAGCCAAACATGCAGCACATACTTAGTCTCTAGGACTCCAGCACTATGAGGCTGGGCTGGAGGATGGCTTTGGTTTCTGACACTCCTGTGCAAACAAATAACTTCACATTTTCCTTCATCTAGTATAGTGTGCTAAAAGTAGCAAAGGCTTAACATGTAATGAGCCCTGTGATCTAAAGCAATTTATTACTGCACCATTTGTGACTCAGTGGACAGTATCTGAATTTCCATTGAAAAGAAAAGTGGTTATTTTCAATACAATGCTTTGAAGAAATGAGTGGAGCAAATTAATACTAAAACTCCATGGCACTGCCAAAATACAAATAAATGATGAAAATGGTCCCCTTTTTGTGGTGCAAACTGGCCTACTCAAGATAGTTCTGAGATACAGAAGCGTAGCAGCACTGTCTTCTCAAGATTTCTCAGCATGTGTTCTGACACTATGTATGGCTCATTCTCTTAGGCAACCTCTCCCTTCCACTCACCTGATGAAAAAATTTGCACGTAACCCCACAAAGGGAACCTTGCAGTGTTTTCTCCCTTAGCCATCTCCTTCAGGTTTTAGCACATGAACGGACAATAACAAACTGCAAACACTGAAATTTGCTGGCAGGAAAGGTATTGAAAACTAACTACTGAGAATAATCCACAGGCATCAGAAGATGATCATGACTAGTAACAAATACTTAGCATGAGGACAGTCAATCTGACTTGTTCTGGGATCCTGTTCGATTTCTCACACAAACTACGGTAAGCCCAAGTTGGGTTGGATGAGAGACCTCCAAGTTGCTAAACTAATATCTCAGCATGGGAACTCTGTATCTGCAGTGGGGATGGGCAGAGTATGGACATGGAAACTCTGAGTTTTAGAGAACACCATCACTCCGTTTATCATCCCAACTCTAACATCTCTCCATTCACTTGTATATATGTATAGTTTTTAATTAATAGGCTGTGGATTGTTCTGGTTATGTCATGTATCCTGCTGTGATTAAAATTGCCTAGATATACAATGAATTGCTTTTATTTTCAGATTTATAAGCTATATCTTTCTACAAAGTTCAGAGTGTACGAACATATCCTAAAAACACACAATCTCATCCAAAAATCACTTCCCTTCTCCATTCCACCCCACTCCAAACAGAACAAAAACAGATCAGTAGAAAAGTTAAAGACTATCCCCCAAGTATTTCTCCTCATGTGCCATGTCAGAACATGTTGATCAGATGTAACAGATTTGTGTTCCATTTAAATGGCTATCACAAGTTTTAGTGAGTTTAGCACTTGGGACAGGTGGTTGTACATTCATTTTAGGCTGTGATTTTTCAAAAGGGTCCGTGTTGACCTAACTCTGCTCCTTCTAGATGGGATTTTTACAATTAATTTAAATGGGAGCAGAACTAGGCCAACATGGAGTCCTTTTGAAAATTCCATCCTTAAGCGTTGGAGAAGCACAGTCCCCTAAAGGAAATTATGAAAAGCCTAATTTAAACGGAAAAATCCAATGTAAACACTTAAAAAGAAATCACTGGATTTTACTTACCCTGTTATGCTATTACCCATGCACATTTGCTAGTATTAAAATTCTAGAATAACCCATATTTGGTATGGGTCCATTTTAGTGATGTAGGATGAACTGCTGAATGAATTGTGACAAAGTGCTTGTTGAAATGTTTATATTGCCCCCAAAGGAAATAACACTTGTTTCATTACAACAGAAATTGCTGGGATGTCCCTTGTCTGCTTTTCCTATTGGAATGGTCTCCTGTTGTATGAGTGAGCAATTATATTGATGTCTGTGGGCTCAATTCGCTTCTGCGTCAAAGCTTGCTCTACACAATGGAGAGGGGAGTGCCATCAGGAAACTGAAGACTAGAAAACATGGTCTCTTTGTCAGTCATGCCATACTGGTACTATATTCTGTTCAGGATGCGAAACCTATAAAAGCAGTGAAGTGATTAGAGCAGGTTTAATGAATTCTGCTGATCCTACAATAGAACAAATGACTTATCTTTGGGATTAAAGCGGTGCCACCAGTGGGGATGCACATGGTATGAAAACAATTGCACAGCTTGCAGATATACAACTTGTAGCATGCAATTGGTAGAGGTGTCACATGACACAGCAAGTGTTCAGTATAAACATCAAGATCTAGCTATTGTAGGTGCTTCTGTGTTCCTCATTACTGTAGTATCAGAGCACTCACAAATTTTCATGTATTTATCCTCTCGATAACCCCGGTAGGTAAGAAAGTGCTGTTATCCCCATTATATAGATGGGGAAGTGAGTCACAAAGAGAGTAAATGACTTGCCTGGTCACACAGGAAGTGTGTGAAGGAAGAAGAAATTGAACCAATGTCCTAATGACTGGACTATACTTACTCTCTAATGATTTTTTTTCCTTTTCCTTTTTCTTTTTTTTTTAAGAAAAGAGAGGAAGAAGAGAGGCAGAGAGGTGAAGAACAGATACGACAGCAGGAGGAACTTAGAGCAAAAGAGTTGTACTTGAGCCTCAAGCAAGCTCAACAGCACAGCCAACACAATGAACATGAGGACCAGGAGTGGAAAGAACAGTGTGAGTAAACTTAATCGATGAATGAATGTGAAATATGCACAAATCTTACCTAAGCATGTGCAAAGTACCATGTGGAACCATAGAACCCACAAGAAACAGTCATGTGGGTGGGGAAACTGCTCTTTAAACAACCATGGAAAGAAGCATTTCTTTCTAGACAAACTTGTCTTTTATGAGGTAGATTCTACATCCAGCTTTACAAAATGCTCCAAGTAAAAAAATGCATTTGTGATTTTTTTACCTTGCACAGTATAAAATTGCACACAATTTTGCTGCAAGCAGCCAGTTTGACCTTATGTTGCAAATTTCAGTCACTTTGCCAATTTCATATTTCTTTCTGCATAAGGTTGCATCATCATTCATTTTCTGCAGTGGAAGCTACATCGTGCAGACAGCACCATAGAAAACACTTTGAATTTTTTTGTAAAGTCTGATGAAAAAAAATTCTGGCCATCTGTATTTGAACATCTTATACTAGAGGATTCAGCTTTGAATAGACAAAAGTTGTTGTCTGGGTATTTATTCTAATATGGCTCTTTTAAGAATTCCTTACAAGCTGGTAGGGCAAAACGCTGATGTCCTTACTCTAGCAAATTTCCATTGACTTCAAAGGATTGTTTTAAATCGCAGTTTTGAGCATGATCTAGAATAGATCTTTATGATGTTGCTATCATAGCAGCATTTTTCAGCTTGGTTCCTAGCCACACTGAAATCTTTTATAAATATCATCAGTGTGACTGACAAAAATTTAGAAACACAAGAGTAGCTTGTGTTCAGCTATAGCCATGTAGAGGGCACATCCCATATGTGACTGTACATACTGTATATAAGGTTCCCAGTAGTTTTGTATAAGGGTGGTCTTAACAGATTACAGGGAATAAAATATGGTTAGCTGTCTCTTTTATATAGTGATAACTCTGAGATATACTGTATGTTCCCCTTTAAATGTGTGACCTTCCTGTTAATGAGAAAAATTACACATTTGTATTGAGGGAAGAATGTACTTTAAACCCGCTCACCTACATTGATTTGATTACTTAACAGAAAAAGAGGAAGAAATATTTAGAAGGTTTTAACTTGAACAGCGACATTGAGCTAATTGTGTATAACACAAAGATTAATAAAGTAAGCACTTAAAGTGACATTTATCTGGGTCAAAGATAAGTGTGTGTTGTATGAGATAATTCGGTAACTCATGAAGTAGGGAAAGCAAAGCTACAGAGGTAGTGTGCTGTAGTATTGCTAATTTATATATGTTAAGAGTAAAGGAAAACCAACAACAGTAAAAGAAATACCTCAAAATATGTGAAGAATGTTTCTGTTTTTTTTTTTTTTGTAGTTTTATTCATTCATTGCAGGAGTTCTTGGAGACTGATTACCAAAGTCCTGTTTCCTGCCATTCATATGAGACTAAGTCATTAAGTACAAAATTAATTTTATATTTAAGAGACACTGCTGGCATTATCCAATATGGTAGCTGGCTGCCATCTATTTTGACAGAATAAATACTCTATAGGTTAAATTTTCAATGAAAAAATGATAATTCCCTGTGAAATTATTTAAATCCAGGATTCTGTTCATTTGAAAAGGTAAAAGATATCCTTTTGTACTCCAGGCCTCAAAGGGATTTGGTGAGGAGTGGGGAGAGAGCATTTCACTTTTGAAATGAACAGGACTATTCCAGTTTACACCAGCTGACAGTCTAGGGTTGCCAACTTTCTAACTGCAGAAAACCAAACACCCTTGCCCTGCCCCTTCTCCAAGGTCCCGCCCCCACTCCATCCCCACTCCCTTCCTCACTGTCCCCCACCCTCGCCCACTTGCTCATTTTCACTGGGCTGGGGCAGGGGGTTGGGGGTGCAGGAGGGGGCTCCAGGCTGGGGCCCAGAGGTTCAGAGTGTGGGGCGGGCTCTGGGCTGGGGCAGGAGTGTGGGGTGTGGGAGAGGGGAGGGCTCTAGCTGGGGGTGTGTGGGCTCTGGGGTGGGGCCAGGGATAAGGGGTTTTGGGTGCAGGAGGGGGCTCTGGGCTGGGGCCAAGGAGTTTGGAGTATGGGAGGGGGTTCTGAGTTGGGGCAGGGGGTTGGGACATGGAAGGGGGTGCGGGCTCCGGGCGACACGGACCTCAGGAAGCTCCCAGGAAGCGGCAACATGTCCCTCTGGCTCCACCCTTTGCCAGGGGACTCCACATGCCCCACCCCTGCCTGCAGGCTCTGCCACCCCTGCAGCTCCCATTGGCTATGATTCCCAGCCAATGGGAGCTGCAGAGCCAGGGCTCGGGGTGGTGCCTGTGGCCAGGGGCAGCATGCGGAGCCACCCCGACCCCTAGTAGCCGGCTGGACATGCCCGCCGCTTCCTGGGAGCTGCACGGAGCCGGGCTCGGAGCCTGCCTGCCCTGCTGGTGCTGTGGCCAACCACATTTTTAGTGGCCTGGTCAATGGGGCTGACTGGAGTCGCCAGGGTCCCTTTTCGACCTGGGGTTCTGGTTGAAAACCGGATGCCTGGCAATCCTACGACAGTCTGGCCTAGAGGATGGTATTTCAGCAGCCCACTCGGATGGTGGATACAGAAACAGAGGAAATTTGTAAGACTGGTGTCAAAAGAAAAATATTGCATATGGAAATTGGCAACATAACAAAATACTACAAATTTTACTGTGTTTAATTTGTTCTGTTTTTAAAATAATAAAATAAATGATTAATGCTGCAGTATAGGGACTGTGGTAGGAGAAGAGGGAAAATGAGCAACGGGGAAAAAAGGAAGCAGTTTTCAGCCAGGGTTTCCAAAATGGTTTTGAACACAGGTTTTCCTAGTCTGCACTTAGATTGTGGCCAATCAACACCGCTTTGATTGCATCATTTTCTGATGCACATTGTCTGCAAGAGTTTATTTTTGTAGCACAGTAGAGTCTTTGGAGGGAGTCTAAATTAGTGTAACTTGCATTGTCTTCTCTTATCCTGAAACTGTATGATCACGAACTTGGATGCCATCTAGTCCTCCATAGACTCTCTTCAACTTACTTAGCATCACGGCCACATGCCAATGAGTAACTTACACCCATACCTGTCACTTAAGTTCTAAGTTTGTCCCTCTGGGCTTGATTTACCTCACACACCAGTTTCATGTTGGTGTAAGTCCATTAAGGTCAATGAGGTGACTCCTTCTTTACACTGGTGTTGTTGATAGGAAAATCAGGTCCACTGAGTCTAAACAGGTCTAAGTGTACCGGTGTGAATATTGTGGCTGTGGCAGAATTTTAGCAAGGGGGAATGTAAGGGGACTGTTGCCCCCTTACTAACATTCAGTGGGGGTGTTTTGGTTGGCTAGCTCCCAGCACTAAAAGGGGAAGGGTCGATGGCAAATCAGGAGCCTGAGACTGACAGTCCCCAGGAACAATGGGGAGAGGCCAATGCTCCAGATCAGCCTGATTGACAGAGTGGGCAGGCTAATCAGGGAGTCAGGAGGCCAGGGGGGTCCCGTCCTCTGTGTGCACTGGAATGGCCTGAGTCAGATAGAGTGGGCCCGAGCTAAGTTGCTGGAAGCAGAGCTGCAGCCCCAAAGCCAGAGCACAGCCCAGAGAGAGCAGAGCTGCAGCAACCAGAGCCAGAGGGGCTAGACAAGCAGCCAGGAAGCAGGTCAGAGCTGGGAGCAGAGTCACAGAAGCAGCCTGCAGAGCCGACCTGTCCTGGGGGCAGAGCTGTAGCAACCAGAGCCAGAGAGGCCAGAGAAGCAGCCCAGGGAGCTGAAGGCAGAGCAGCAGCAGCAGCCATGCTGAGGCAGAGTGGAGCTGGAGCTGGGGCTGGAGCAGTCCGGAGCTGGGTGCGGTGGGCCTAGCGCAGGGAGATGCCTCAGCCAAGAGGCCTTGCAGGCCAGACTTGGAGGGGGATCATAACCCCGACCGGGCAGGGGCGACGCTGGGAAAAAGGGTCCTGCCACCTAGAGCCTG